ATATATATATATATATATATATATATATATATATATATATATATATATATATATATATATATATATATATATATATATATATATATATATATATATATATATATATATATATATATATATATATATATATATATATATATATATATATATATATATATATATATATATATATATATATATATATATATATATATATATATATATATATATATATATATATATATATATATATATATATATATATATATATATATATATATATATATATATATATATATATATATATATATATATATATATATATATATATATATATATATATATATATATATATATATATATATATATATATATATATATATATATATATATATATATATATATATATATATATATATATATATATATATATATATATATATATATATATATATATATATATATATATATATATATATATATATATATATATATATATATATATATATATATATATATATATATATATATATATATATATATATATATATATATATATATATATATATATATATATATATATATATATATATATATATATATATATATATATATATATATATATATATATATATATATATATATATATATATATATATATATATATATATATATATATATATATATATATATATATATATATATATATATATATATATATATATATATATATATATATATATATATATATATATATATATATATATATATATATATATATATATATATATATATATATATATATATATATATATATATATATATATATATATATATATATATATATATATATATATATATATATATATATATATATATATATATATATATATATATATATATATATATATATATATATATATATATATATATATATATATATATATATATATATATATATATATATATATATATATATATATATATATATATATATATATATATATATATATATATATATATATATATATATATATATATATATATATATATATATATATATATATATATATATATATATATATATATATATATATATATATATATATATATATATATATATATATATATATATATATATATATATATATATATATATATATATATATATATATATATATATATATATATATATATATATATATATGTAGAGGTTGAGTGTTTATGTGTCAGCTGTGAAGAAAACTCAGGAGGATATTCAGAATATGATGACAAGAGCAGAAGTTATGTCATATAAAGGTAACAATATTAAATGTTCATTGTCTTTTTTTAACGATGAGAATATTGATCCCATTGCAGGCAACGTATCAGGTGGAAATTACATGTGAAATAAAGGGATTTTCTTAACAAGTGGAATAAATCAAAGTGGGAATTATTTTTATAATGAATCAGCAAAAGACTGAATGCATATGTAAAATACTTAATACTTAATAGCACTGTATTTTGCATGAAACAGCATCATATTAGAAAAGCTATTGTATTTGTGGATTTCTCTGAAGAAAGCATTTTTTACAGGTGATCAAGGAGGTCAGCGAGATGAAGTTATTGGAGCCCTTCTGCAACTCTATCAAAATCTGCAGAACAAAGCCACTGAATACCAAATCTTGGGGCACATGCTGATCCAGTGGTGCAGAAATATTGCTGAGGTTAGATGTTTTCTGAATTTGTGTTTTGAGGCTTAAATAGATTATTTTTGTTATGAATGTATAATATATCAATTTTACTACCTATTGTATATTAAATTTGTTATGTTCATATACAGATTCACCGATCTTGTGACAAACTGGAGTCACAATTTGGTAATGTCAGCCTTGATATTGGAGGTATAGAAGGTCAGCTTTTGGAACATGAGGCTTCCAAACAAGCTGTTCTGGAATTGCTCAAATTTGCTCAAAATGAATCAACAAGTATTGTGACCAAGATCAAGGAACAGGTGTGTGATTTCAGTATTAAGGGTACTGTTTTCAGGTTATTGATTTAATAATGCTATAAATTCTTATATTTCATGAAATATGTGAAATTATGTTGTTTTCAACATTATGCATTTTAACCGTTAAAATTATTGGGTCTATTTTGTAGTGTCCCCCGGATGCTGGAGCACAGGATATTGGCATGATAAATGAAATGTTGGAAAGACGTGGCAGAGTCTTTGAAACTGTATGGTCCCATCATCAACAAATGCTTGAAAGGCAACTCAAGCGTTCGCAGTATCATGTTGATTTACAGGTTAGTAAAAGATGCACCTTTTTATTAGGAAGTGTATTATATTGCACTACTGCAATGCAATACTTCATGTTATAAAGATATATTCTGTGTAATCTGATTGAAAAAAAATTGTTACAGGTTATCAGCGATCAGCTTCGTGATTTAAGTGAACAACTAGGTCGCATGCGAGGTCATTATGGCGATTCCTTGGGTGCTGCCAAGAACATGCAGACTGCATTCACACAGTTTAAGATCACCGTTGATGTAAGTAAATCTTGATGTACAGTATGGAAGGATATAAGTACATATAAGTAACCTTTGGGTATGAAAGAGAAATTTAAGCATTAATAAACACTATTCATCTTTCACTTTGATTTAATCTTCATCTCCAGATGCTAGAAAGACGTATCCAAACATTTGTAAGCACCGCTGTTAAAATGCTTGGACAAGAGGATGATTCAGGTGAAGTACAACAAGAACTTGCTGAGTTGGAGAAGAAATGGTCTACCTTCCAGAGGCAGGTTGGGGAGTCAGAGAAGTCTATTGAACTGTCTATTGACTTCTTCAAACTTGTTGAGGAGGTAAGATGTGTTCTTAAATAAATGGATAGGTATGACAAAGACTAAGTATTTGAAAGATATTATAATTTGTCAGTGAAAATATTTGTTATGTTGCTGATTTATTGGTTTTGTAATGCTTCAGACCTCTCACTTTCATCATATTTCTCTTTTTAGGCCGAAGATTGGTTTAAGAATGGAAGTAAACTTCTGGTAACTGTAGCTGGTGAATCATCTAACATCCAAAACCCAGATCAAGCTCAGAAACTCAGGAAACGTATTGAGCACTTCCTACAGCCAGGAGAGCAGGCTCAGGCACAGAGAATTACAAAGATATCCTCACTTGCCCTTCAACTGTATGGTTCAGCTACTCCTAGACAGGTACTTCTTTAAAGTAGTCTTATAAAAATCTATTTAATGTGATGTGAAGGTTACAGTTTGATTTTTTAAGACATTATTTGTATTATATTTGGGAAAGTATATGCATATTGGAAGTTTTATACACAAAATGAATATATATATATTTTTTTTTTCCCCCATTTAGATTGAAGTTGTATCGCACCAGAATACACACATGCTTGAAAGCTTTAATGTTATCAACCGTAACCTTGAAATGCTGATTATAAACCTGAAAAATGCAGAAGATCTTAGAGAAAAGCAGAAGAAGGTGAGTTTCATTTTGAGTTGCACATAAGATCAATTGATATACACTTTTGCCATGACACTGGCTTGTGTTTTTTATATTAATCTTATACACATTTATAGGAAAAGGAAGAACTTGCAGCTTCACTCACAGCTGCACAGGCTGAAGCTGAGGCTGCAAGATTGAGAGCAGCAGCAGCAGAAGAAGCTAGAAGGGCTGCAGAAGAGGTGGCAAGAACCATGGCAATACCTGTAGAGCCTATTGTTCCAGAAAGGGTAAGATTTTGAATTTCATACATGTATATACTGTATGATAGATGTATAAAGATATAAATATCTATCTATCTGTCTATCTATTTATCTATATCTGTATCTATATCTATTTATATCTGTATCTATCTCTATCTATATCTATATCTATAACTCACTCACTCTCTCTCTCTCTCTCTCTCTCTCTCTCTCTCTCTCTCTCTCTCTCTCTCTCTCTCTCTCTCTCTCTCTCTCTCTCTCTCTCTCTCTTCTCTCTCTTCTCTCTCTCTCTTCTCTCTCTCTCTCTCTCTCTCTCTCTCTCTTTCTCTCTCTCTTTCTCTCTCTCTCTCTCTCTCTCTCTCTCTCTCTCTCTCTCTCTCTCTCTCTCTCTCTCTCTCTCTCTCTCTCTCTCTCTCTCTCTCTCTCTCGCATATGTACATATGAACACACACACACACTTATGCATACACACACACACTCACTTACGCACACACACACTTATGCACACACACACACACACACACTTATGCACACACACACTTATGCACACACACACTTACGCACACACACACTTACGCACACACACACACACGCTTACGCACACACACACTTACGCACACACACACTTACGCACACACACACTTACGCACACACACACACTTACGCACACACACACTTATGCACACACACACTTACGCACACACACACACACACACACACACACACACACACACACACACACACACACACACACACACACACACACACACACACACACACACACACACACACACACACACACATATGCAAACAGAGTATATTAATAGATTCATACTTATTCCATAGGACTGAAACTTCCTCTTTCACCAGGTTGAGATTGAGATCCAGACGGAAGCCATCCCTCTGTCACCTGAGGAGCCCCAGAAGCCTGAGGAAACACCACCCGCCAAGAAGGCCAAGTTGATTGACGATGAGCCACAGCACATGCCTCCAGTCTTCATGACACCGCTTGTGGGGGCCTCAGTCTCCGAGGGAGTCAAATTCTCCTTTGAGTGCAGGTATGGAAATTTGGGTTTTGTACAGAATGTGTCATTACAGAATGTTAAGAATATATAAGTGCTAAGTTTGAATTACATTATTCAGATGATTCTGGTATTCTATAGCTATGATGATTGTGAAGATAAATTCACAGAAAATATAGAATACTAGTTGCATTGCAATGTATGGTTGTAAATTAAATTGTATATATAATTGATTTCCATTTTATTTTTGGTTCTCTCCTGCTGAACGTTATGATGTTACAGAAAATGCCAAAATGCGTCATATTATATTAGTGCAATGGTCTACACTATATCATAGTATATATTTCATGACATCATTTTATAATAATCTAAATCTATTATATCTAAAACAGTTTAATTATTCATTACTAGCAATAAAAACAGCTAAATAATTTAAATATCTTTCTGATATAGGGTTATTGGATTCCCAATGCCTGAAGTTGAATGGCTCAAGGACAACATGAGTATCTCTGGAAACCCAGATTATAAAACAAGCTTTGAAGAAGGTGTATGTACCCTTACTATTGAAGAAACATTCACTGAGGACTCTGCCCTTTTCACATGCAAGGCAGTCAATGCTGCTGGTATGGCAGAAACATCTGCAACACTCACAGTTAAGGGTGAGTGTTTCTTTCAGGATTCTTATCTTTGTAATATTTTTGTGCATTAATGTTTATGTATGTGTACATGAATGTGAATGCACAGTAATAAATATGTGTATGAAATTTTATTTAACAGAAGCAGAGGCAGTGGAGGTGATGGCACCACCATTATTCACAAAGAGACTTGTAGATACAGCAGCTGAAGAAGGCTCTTCATATCAGCTTGAGGCAACAGTAGAAGGTCATCCACTCCCAGTTGTTTCTTGGTCAAAAGATGGAAAATGTGTGGATGAATCTCCAGATTATGTCATTACGTTCAACAACGGTGAATGTATGCTCAGATTTGAGGAAGTCTTTGTGGAGGATCAGGCTGAGTACCAATGCAAAGCTACCAATGATCTGGGTGAAGATATTACTAAAGCCAGGCTTACTGTCACAGGTATATTTCTCCCTTTCACCCTCACAGTTCAATTTATACATCATAATAGTTTTCTTGTTACAGTCTGTGTAATAGTAACATAATGAAAATTTTGTCAGTTTATGCATATATTTCCCTCTCATACAGCGGTGGAACTCTCTGAACGCCCAAAGTTCACAATGCTTTTGAGCAATGTGATGGCAAGGGCTGGACAGAAGTTTAAATTGGAATGCCAAGTTACAGGGAACCCAACTCCTACTATCACCTGGTTCCACAACAATAAACCAGTCAAGGAAACACCAGACTGTAGGGTAAGAGCAATGGTAGTCTAATTGTAATTAACTAGGAATATTTCTTGGCTTGTTGCAGTTATCATTTATTTATAATCAAGAATTCTGCCACAGTACTTACATAATGACTGATCTCTTTACTTTTTTCAGTTGACATTTGATGGTCAAACAGCCACTTTAGTGATGTCTGAAGCCTTCCCTAAGAATGCTGGCACATATACTGTTGTGGCAAAGAACTCTGCTGGAGAAGCTCAGTGTTCAGCAAATGTGTCTGTAAAGGTAATATTCTCATTCAGCCAAGCAGGAAATTTAGATCCTTTTAGAAAAATCCATGTTCTTTCCTGAAAATCTGTGTACTTATACATAATTTTCTTTCTTTAACTTATACTTTCTTTTTTTCATGCAAACCATGTTCATGTGTAGAGGCATTTACTCATTATGGTAAAATTTTCTTTTTGACTTATGAAACATCAGAAAATTCATATAGCATTATTGTTTGAAAAATTATCTGAAGTATATTGATTAATGAAATCATGATAACTTTACCAACAGGATATGTAAACCTTGTATTGATATATCAATATCGTAAAGATGTAACTCACCATCAGAATAATTGTGCATAATTCTACAGGGTCGCATTCCAACTGAGACAAGTGACTCTGAGGTGGCATCAGACATAGATGCAGAACCAGTAAAGCCTTCAGTACAACTTCCCTTGAAAGATACCAGTATACAAGAAGGGAGGCCAGCCCGTCTTGACTGTGTTATTGTTGGTCAGCCTGAGCCAGAGGTAAAAAATTGATGTACTCATAATTTCAGTGAATCTAATTTCTTGTAAACCCTGATATAATTTGTAATGGACAGTAATACTGATATAGTATTAGGTTTGTGTTGAATACAAAGAACTATTTAAATTTCTGTGTCATTTATATATATATGTTATATATTTATTTATTTACAATAGGTTATTTGGTACCATGATGACAAGCCAGTTAAGGAGTCCAATGACTTCAAGTTACTGTTTCATGGTGATCGTTGTTCCTTGATAATACAAGAAGCATTCTTGGAGGATGCTGGCATATACAGGGTAGTGGCAATGAACTCTGCTGGTGAAGCATCAACTGCATGTTTTCTAAATGTAGAACGTGAGTATTTGTTTTCTATACAATTTTACATTATTCAGAAATATTATTTTCTTTTTAAATGGATTACACATTTGTTACACCTGTTTGATAAATTTATTTTTTTCTACTATGATCTGCAACACATGTCTGAAGCTATACTTGAGCTTAATGTATATAAGTTAAAAATATCATTATAGTATATATCTTAAAATCATAGTGAAGTATTTCTACATAGATCTGTAATACAGCTCCTTTGAGAACCTTGAGTTTACCAAGATCATGCTTATTTCCAATCTGTATAGAATTGTTAATTTTAGAGTGCATTATTTTTTGTGTTATACTGTTACACCTATTCAAGTCTGATCACATGGTTCCTTCATTGTTACATATGATATTCAATAACAGCATGTTAAATGGTGTGTTTGACAGCTGTTCCTGAACTGGCACCTCCATCTGAACCAGAAGCTCCCACTGTGGCACCACGTTTCTCTCAGCTGTTAACAGACAGTCATGTCACAGAAGGAAAGCCAATCACTCTTCGTGCTTCAGTGACTGGCGAGCCTGCTCCTACTATAGCATGGTTTAAGGATGGTGTGCCACTTCTTCCTGATAATGAGTTCCAGGTAATTTGCAGGGCATGAGATTCATTATCAATATCAAATATATTTCTTATGTTGCATTTCTTAACAGATTCTGTGAATTGTTTGAAGGAAAAAATATATAATGCTGTTATGAAAATCTTATGATATTTTGATAGTATGTCTCTTCCTTAAATTAAATTTTTCTGTGTTCCCTAGATCCAGGAGAATCCAGATGGTAGTCTCATTGTTCACATTAATGCTGCAACACTTGACCACACTGGGCAGTACGAAATAGTTGCATCCAATGCAGCAGGGACAGCAAAGTGTGTAGCTTATCTGAGCATAGAACCTCGTCTCCCAACACCTCCACTTCCAGAGCACCGGGAACCTCCTGTCTTTTCCAAACTTATTCAAGATGTGACAGTGACATCTGGTAGTGGTGTCATATTTGAAGCTGATGTTACAGGGGTCCCGAAGCCTACGGTGAGTGGTCAGGAATTTATCAAAGATGTTTGTGATTTCAGGTCAGAAAATGATGATTGTGTCAATGGGGTACTGAATGACAGAGTGCAGGCATGTCACATATTTGAAGGCTCGTCTGAAGTTGGAAATTATGAAACATTAAATAACTTAAAGATACTAAAGGATGATACAACTAGTACAGCTACAAGTATAATAGCAAACGGAGGAAGAGAACTGAATGTTAATGTACAAGATAAAGAGTTGGATTACATATCAGAAGATCTGTCTGAGATTGGAAGTTCTGAAGCTTCAGATATTTATAAGTTTGACAAGGATGATACAAATCCTACTACAAGTATCATGACAAAAGATGAATATATGAATATGATGTCCAAGTTTTGCAAATTACAGTGTACTTCATCATTTGAAGAAAATAACAATGTACCAAATATTGAGGATCATGAAGACAATAGCTTACCAAACATCGATAGCAGCAGTAGTGAATCTTTGAAAGAAGCTGATCAACCAGGTAATTTCCATGACTTAAGAATACTAGACTTTGAATCATATTCACGCTTTATGATGGAGAACATTGTCGTGTATGGTTCATTAGAGGATTCAGATGCATGTGGAGAAGGTCAGTCTTATGACCAGCTGCAGAAATTTGATGATATAAGTGTTATGAACTCTGAAGTTTATTCTAATTTTCTCAAATCACATTTTGTATCAGATAAGGAGCAAGGGGAACCACCTGACAATGTATGTTTGAATAGGGATAGTGATGAATTGGATGGTGAAATGGAGATAGAAAGAGAAGAGAAGCCTCATACAGATGAATGTTTGTCTGTATCTTCTGATAGTGAGGAAGGCATCAACCTCCAACCAGCAAAGTTTTTAGATACTGGCATAGAGGAAGACATTCAGCCTGTTAAGCTTGTTGATCTTTGGGATCTGATTAAGGACAGACTGCCAGATTCTAAAAGTCAGGAAGATGATAGTTACCCTAAAAGGCAGAGAACCTTTTCATTTGAGGATGAAACTGAGTATAATAGAAAGTCAGTTTCTCAGAGTTCTGATGGAGAATTGGAATCAGGGTATTTCTCTGGTAATTTTTCTAATGCTTCAGGCCCCGAGTCACTTGACTCAGGTACATCAAAAAGGAGCAGTTACTCCTTATCGTCAGAAGAAACATCTAAACGAAGCAGCATTTGCGAAGATCAAATTATTAGTCATATTAACCAGAGGAAAGGAGTAGATGAAGAGACCCCAGCTGATACCCTATTCAAAAGTAAATATAAAGAAGATCCAGTCAAGGCTCCAAATCAAAGTTCAGAGCCAATGAGACCATATTTGAGTACAAGAGATAGCAGTTTTATCACAGAAAAAGCAGCACAAACAAGTTCTACAGATTTTTCATCATGCAGACATAATTCACGTGATAAAACAAAGTGGCTGTCAGGTTATGTGTCAGATACAGAATCCTCTTCTGATTCAGATAATCCAATATATGTTTTATACAGTGATAAGTATGAAGATGCTAAAACATCAGGTATTGATATATATACAGAACTACAGAGTATAAGAACATACTATGGGGTAATGACACCTATTGTAGAGGCAGAAGAAGAGATTCCCCATGATGAAAAATCCAAAACTATTGACTATGATGAGAGAGGAAAGACAGATACTGAAAAGCTTTTTTCTTCAGAAATGAATTCCTTTGATCATGAAAGATGTTGTAGTGGTCTATCTGTCATTTCAGAAGAAGGTTCTCTGTCTGATTATAGTGAAATACAGAAACATTATACAGTTACAAAATCAGTAGGTGTAAATACAATTTTAACTGCAAGTGATGTACAATGGCCTATTAAAAATATTGGAACAAATCTGGACAACTCTGCTGTGAAAAGTGATGCAGAGAAACAAGTTGAAAGAAAGGCAAGAAGAGCAGCACGCCTTGCAAAATTACGAGAACTTACTAAGATACTAAAAACGCCATCCAAAATTTCAGTGTGCAGTAAGCAAATTGATACAGATAGCAAACAAGATAGAAGTTCACAGTCATTCTGTTCAAACCCCAATGCTTATGATAAAGTAAGCATGAAAGATATTAAAGTTACAACAGAGTTCCTTAACTGTTCCTTGTTGAAAAGTTTTGAAACACTTCCACAAAAATCAGAGCCAGATTCAAAAATGAAAGGGTATTCATCAGAACCAAACAAAGCTTTCATGTTAATGATCAAAACAAAGGAAAGCTTGTCCCAGCTTGAGATCAAGCGCATTATTGTAGAAAAGTTGAGAGCAGTATTGGAAGCTGGACAGTCACTGATTAGAGCCTATGTATTACCATTTACGCATGCTATTTTCTTGGATTTTAGCAACCCATCTGTTATAGAGCATGGTTTGGCTCCGTTAACACAAGACATATTACCTAATATGGTATTTGAAGTGTGTCTTCATGCTACTAGAGGTCAGGGAACCATATTAGATGGTGAATGTACAGATCCTAATACACCTGGCATAATTCAAGCTGGATATTATTTGATTTATGTCTTGTATTACAAAGATGAAGATAGGACATAGGACTTTCATAAGTTTTCACTAGCTAGTCGGGTAATTTAGGAAAATATTAAATCAAATTTATATATTTTCCTTTAATCTATTCAGAAAATCAGTAGAATGAAAGATGATGATCTAGATTTGACTTGTATAAATCAAATTGTCAGCCTGTTATGCATTGATAGGCTACAGTGTTCTTTAAATGTAGTAGTGACCAACAATAATGTTAGCAAACATTGTCGTAGAACAGAACGCTGTTTGTGGATAATAATAAAATTAGTAGTAATTTTCCTTCTTTTATGGCCATGAATGGACCTCTTTTCAAAACAAAACAAGATACTGCAAATAATACAACAGTACAATTATGTAAATGAAAAGGAGGATTAAGATTACCTTCTATCCATAAGAATGTTTCATGGCTTTCTTAGTATTTTTTAATGTCAAAGTCACCAAAAAAATCAAATGTACTTTTAAGAGCAACAAAGTAAGGTAAATGTCAAATAAAACAAGTGAGCATATCCCTCATTTTATATTAAAACAAATACTGTAACAATTATACTTAAACCTAGTTACAAAAAATAAGTACAGCAGTTAATGACAATATATAAAACATGTCAATAAAAACTCCAGAAATTGCTAAGTAAATCTTTGATAAAATAAATGCCTTAAAAAAAAGCTGTAAAGCTCATGCAGAATCCGTGAACATCACTGTTAATGAATACATAAAATGTGTATCTCCCTCAGCCAAATATCACTTACATACAGTATTCATAGGATTCTCACTGGAATACATAATGTATTTAAGCACTTATCATACAGTATTCATAGGACTCTCACTGGAATACATAATATATTTAAGTACTTATCATACAGTATTCATAGGATTCTCACTGGAATACATAATGTATTTAAGCACTTATCATACAGTATTCATAGGATTCTCACTGGAATACATAATGTATTTAAGCACTTATCATACAGTATTCATAGGACTCTCACTGGAATACATAATGTATTTAAGCACTTATCATACAGTATTCATAGGATTCTCACTGGAATACATAATGTATTTAAGCACTTATCATACAGTATTCATAGGATTCTCACTGGAATACATAATGTATTTAAGCACTTATCATACAGTATTCATAGGATTCTCACTGGAATACATAATGTATTTAAGCACTTATCATACAGTATTCATAGGACTCTCACTGGAATACATAATGTATTTAAGCACTTATCATACAGTATTCATAGGATTCTCACTGGAATACATAATGTATTTAAGCACTTATCATACAGTATTCATAGGATTCTCACTGGAATACATAATGTATTTAAGCACTTATCATACAGTATTCATAGGATTCTCACTGGAATACATAATGTATTTAAGCACTTATCATACAGTATTCATAGGACTCTCACTGGAATACATAATGTATTTAAGCACTTATCATACAGTATTCATAGGATTCTCACTGGAATACATAATGTATTTAAGCACTTATCATACAGTATTCATAGGATTCTCACTGGAATACATAATGTATTTAAGCACTTATCATACAGTATTCATAGGATTCTCACTGGAATACATAATGTATTTAAGCACTTATCATACAGTATTCATAGGATTCTCACTGGAATACATAATGTATTTAAGCACTTATCATACAGTATTCATAGGACTCTCACTGGAATACATAATGTATTTAAGCACTTATCATACAGTATTCATAGGATTCTCACTGGAATACATAATGTATTTAAGCACTTATCATACAGTATTCATAGGATTCTCACTGGAATACATAATGTATTTAAGCACTTATCATACAGTATTCATAGGATTCTCACTGGAATACATAATGTATTCAAGCAGGTATCATCACTATTGTTGCCGAAAATGCTGCAGGAAAAGCAGTATCTGCAGCAACTCTTAAAATTCTAGGTGAGTATACACACTTTTACATATGTTATTAATCCTGTTATCATATCCTATAAGTAACCATGCTAAGACTTTACATTTCATTCTAACCCCTAAGATACATATATCTTCTATTTAGGCATGCTCTGTTAAGAGACAGAGCAAAGGATACCAGTGATCCCATAGGACACTGGAAAATGATTATGATGTTCACTAGTTACATCATGTACATTTTGACCTATAGATTCCAAAAATACTACAAATATTTTGTGCAACTTAAATAGAACAAATAGAGGTGATTATTTTATGCACTGAAATGCAATAAATCTGTAATAGGGTATATCCTATAAGGGTTGGATAATATTTAATATGAGAAATGGACATAATATAATTCCTAATTAAAATACACAATTTTTATACAAAGATACATAACTATCAGTGCATAATATCCTAATATATGAAACAAATACATGGATTGTTTAAATGCAGTAAGTTTCAGATTCCAGTCAACAGGGGCATAATAACTGCCAGATAATTATTTTGAGATATGTTACTTACTAGATCTAACTTTTAAAGTGAAACCTCTTGGTACTTAATATTGGTAATGTACAATTAGTCACCCAAAACAGGAAATGCACACATAACACATATCATCCCCAAATTCTCTGTTTTTAAAATGATAATAAGTAGGAAGAGGATTCTTTACCTCAGATGATATACAATCTTTATGAAGTCACAAAGTAACTATCATTTTGACAGTATTATATATAAGTATTCAATGGGAGAAATGTCATTTTAACTGTAAAATTACTTATATATAATTTTCATAGCATTCATGAGAGAGGTAAGTAATGAACCCTTCATAAAAAATAAGTTGCATTATAGAAAAATATGATGCTTTACAGATTTGGCTTTAGGAATTACTTTTCCATCTTGGATATGTAACATTAATATGAAATTTAATAATCTATGCATGAAGGTAGGGACAGTTAGTTATGTAGTTCTAATGATATTTTGTAATGTAGTGTCCAGTGAGAAGAGGGTTATGGCTCTATAATAAAGTGGTTAATTCAGATGGAAAGTTAAATATGCAAGACCAATTTATGGAAACTATGGTTGATTTCTCTTATGGGTATACACGTGCTGAGGTAGTAAATAACTCTACAGTGATTTTAATTATATACAAATTACCAATATTATGTAAACACATATCTAAGCTATCACAGATTTGGTCCATAACTTGAAGGGAGCCTTATTCAGTTTTCAAGACCTGTCCTCATAAGGCCCTAATGATGTCATATCACTGGTAATTAGGAAACTGTCACCTTTACTGGTATCACAATAAGTACATTAATTATTTTAATAGACTAATATTTACCAAGAAAGTGAACCTTGGTCATGACAAATGATGATCATTGTCTAGAGGCTGATATCACCACTGCTGCCACACAGCCAAAACTCATCCAGGTGTCTGTAAGGAATTGTGCAACTCTACTGTTCCAAACATTCCTCCCCACGGAAGCTAAATTTTTGTTGAAATAAAGAGTAAGGGCAAAGCACTGAGCGGCGCCCGCCAAACCATATCTCGAGACATCCATTACGCCTTCATCCAGCATTTCATTCACAGCTAACATACCAGTGTGAAGGCAGATATGTTTCAAGGTGGATTTAGCTGAGGAGGACCTTGGGCGACAGAAAAGTTTATACTCATTGGCTGCAACCGAAACTGTGTGCTTGTTCAACACTTGGGATAGGCTTTTCAAAATTTTATCTTTATCTCCTGCTAGAGTACTGTTCAAGCCTTTCACAAAGAGCACATAGACAGATTCGTCGTCTTCTCTATGGGGAATGCCACCGTTGTCTTTTGATTTTTCCTCATTGTCAACACTCTTTGCTCTCCGAGAAGAACTTCTGCGGTTTTGTAGGTGCGGGCGTGATTCAGAACTCGCGCGGCCCTCGTTAGGTTCTTGCAAGAGGTAGTCAAAACTTTGCAGCTTATGCAAGCGCTTCAGCACGATCGGTTTGCGGTTGAACTGCTGCAGGGCTCCTGTAGCATCGCCGTTGAGGGAAGAAGAATTCAGGTGTATGATCTGCAAATGAATCTGAGGGACTGACAACTCCTCCCTCGGGATTTCTTCTATTTGGCAGGTTGCGGACGCCATGAGACTTGCCAGCTCGTTTGCTTAGTTTAGACGTCAGCACGCGTTTGGTGGCAAGCCATTAGACACTACCCTTTTGTTACAAAAAGACAGTGCTTCGCTTATTAGTTTTTGTTTGT